CTTCAGCGCTGTGTCACGTTCGTAACGTTTTAAAGATTAAGTTTATATCATATAGTAATTATTAATGCAATTAACTTGAAACTTTCTGTACAAAGCCAACTTATGGTCACGCCAATTATGATCAACAGCTCATCTCTATTCTTTGCTCTTATCAACCATATAATGCGTTACGGACGTGACCGTTACGGACGCTTCATATTAAATTGTATGCATACAGGCACGCATGTTTACCACGCGTTGCTGATGACTGATAGATAGCCTACTGTGTAGGTCTATACTGCTGTGATCTGTTTCAGGCTTTCCGTATCATAACATTTTAGAAATTAATTCTAACATTTTAGAAATTGCATTCTCAACGTCAACGAGAACATCGTGGAGGTTTAGCTGAGACTGCATTTGCTGTGCGGGTCAGAAATGCACAGACGGACTGTGCAGGACAAATCGCCAAAACTTTTTCAAATGTCATAATGTTCATTGTCAATATTATCTTCTTTAAGTGTTTCAAATAACTTGTGTCGCTATCTGCGCTTCATTCATGCAGAGAGCAAGATTTTGCGTGTTCGGCGCACATGCTGCTGAGTGAGACGCGCAAGAGATGTGCTGTGGAGTAACATCATTCATTCTTATTTGTCTAAATATTTTTTCTTAATTACAAATCTTGTTTGGTTTTATTTGGTATCATTGCATGTTAAAAATAAGTCACTATGTTATGCAGATGCAAAATGTGAAACTGTAATCTTATTCGCAGTCTAGCATTTTATAAATTTGTACAATATATATTCAGCATATTTAACTGAACCTGTTTTGTATCTTTATTATTTAATGCATAAGCGATTTATTAAAACAAGTTTATGAGAGTCATTAAAACAAGTTTATGACTGCGACAGTTTAATCTTGATCAACAACATCAACTAATTGGAGCAGCATCGGCCCGTTATTAGATCATTTTAAAACGTCAAATAGCTTTCAATTTGCAGGTTATAACTGTATCTATTTTATTTATTATTATATTTATTTTAATGCGGATCCCACACTCACACTCAAGCATGACAGGGAGGAGCCCGTACGATCACTTGCATTTTTTCCTGATAATGAAACAACTTAAAATTGGGGTGCCTTACATACATGAGAAATATATAATATTATTATTATTATTATTTGTAAGTCGCTTTGGATAAAAGCGTCTGCTAAATGACTAAAAGTAAAGTAAAAATATCTAAAGAAAGCTTGTATACTTTTAAACGAACCAATTCAAAATGAAATCAAATAGGCCTACTCCCTGATTATGTAATCTGTGAATGCATTTCTCTCTAAAGGTGTGTCCAGTGGAGATTTCGTGAATTTCATCTTTGCAGCCGAAAACACTCAGAAAACATTAGTTTATTACTAAATCATTCAAATGTCCCTTTTTTCATCATCATTAGGCTACATTTGCCTGTGCTTTGTGGCAAACTTTATACGTGTAGCCTACTTGAGCGCGGAATATGCTCATTATGGAGTATTATGTTAATTTAATATAAACGTGCGATTAGCAATAGCTTAAATGAATGACTACTAGTAACTGGAAAAAATCTTTAGTGGGGGGCAGCCCTATTAAATACCCTCTATCTCTGTTAAAGTTTTTAAAGCATTTCCATAGTCGTATAAATTCCGCTTTCAGAACTGTCACGTCCGTATGATTTTTCCTCTGAAACACAAAAAAGAAAATTGAAATAAAATTGATATTTTATGCTTTGTGAATTGCCAACCCTTCTCCATTCGGTAGATATTGTTGCTTCTGGTTTGTGCATTGTAAATCTATTGTAGTCTACGGATGCTTCATATTAAAGCATACCGGCGCACATGTTTGCCTCGTTGTTGATGACTGTTAAAGGTCTACTGCTGTGTCAGGCTTACCTTATCATAACATTTTAGAAATGCATTCATTCTAATAACATTTTAGAAATCGCTCAGCGAGAGCTTAGCGGAGATAGCCTAAGCATGCACAGGTGGACTGCATGACAGCTCGCCAAAACTATTTTAAATGTTGTTCATTGTCAATATTATCTTGTTTTACATTTTATGTGTTTCAAATAACTCTTGTCGCTATCTGCGCTGAATGCATGCAGAGTGCAAGATTTTGCGTGTTCGGCACGCATGTTGTGGGGTTATCATTTATTTATTTATTTTTGTCTAAATATTTATTTTTTCATTACACATCTTGTATGGTTTAATTTCATATCATAGTAAAATAATTCACTTTGTTATGCAGATGCAAAACGTGAATCTTCGCAGTCTATTTTATAAATATTTGTACACTAGGCCTATTATATATTTAGAATATTTTACTTAACCTGTTTTGTATTTTAGTTATTTAATGCATAAGCAAGTAATTAAAAAAAAATTTCCAGCGGCATCCGTTTAATCTTGATCAACAACTATGATCAACGAATTGGAGTGGTGTTGGTCAGTTAGATCATTTTAAAACATCAAATAGCCTTCAATTTATAGTTTATAACTGCACCTGTCTCGGATGTAGACTGGTGAGGATTTATTTTAATGTGGATTCCAAACTCTAGCGTTAACCTACAGGCTATAAATGTGCTATTTTTGGCCCGTGTTCAAGTGTTTGTGCGGAATATTAATGCGCATGCAAAAAATCTTTAGTGGGGGGCAGCCCTATTAAATACCCACTAGACGTCGCTGTTAAAGTTTTTAAAGCATTTTTAAAAGCGTTTTCATAGTCAGATAAATTACGCTTTCAGAACGGTCACGTCCGTAACGGAGAGATGTCACGTCCGTAACATTGATTTTTCCTGTGAAACACAAAAATGAAAATTTAAACAAAATTGATATTTTATGCTTTGTAAATAGCCAACCCTTCTCCAGAAGCAGATATTGTTGCTTCTGGTTTGTGCATTGTAAATCGCAGAACGTCTACAAAATATGCCTCCCAGAAACTCGTCTTTTTTTGTCACGTCCGTAACGCATGTGTCTTTCCATCATTTAAAATATAAAACGGGCTTATAGACTGATACTTTTCTGATGTCTGGACTCTATTTTAAGGGGTTTAGAAAAATATAAAGAGATGGTTTCATATATTGGAAATAAATATAATTTATGAGAATTTATATTTCAGGTTTTGACTGCAAATGTCACGTCTGTAACGGTGGAATTGCCCAGAGTTAGATTAACACTGATAAGAGATGTTGGATTAACTCCATGCCGTTAGGGTTAAATGTTGAACTCTGAGGCAGTGTTAATTTGTTAAAACTTTTAAAATGTTAATTTAACACTGGGCAGTGAAAATTATATAAACACCAGGATAGTGTTGAAATTAACTCTCACAGAGTTAAATTGACACTGGTGGTTTTGCTGTGTAACATTACTTCTCAAAGTATCATAACAATAATAATAACAGTTCATTAAAACATTATTTTTAAGAATATCACAGAATGTCACAATTTTTTTATCCATGTTTTAATTTCAACTGTAAACCTCCATTGGGCAGCACTTTGCTTGTCAAAAATGAAATGTTTAAATGTCATGATTACATTTAAAATAAATAAATAAATAAATTGTTAGACTTATGCAGACAAATGTAAAAATTTCATAGTGCGCTATTATTTATGAAATTTAAATAGTTACATTTTGTGAATTAAATTGTTTCAACATCCTTTTTGATATAAACCATAATTCATAGGGTGAATGTAAGAGACTAAAATAAATTCTTTTTTTTTTTATTACATCAACCCCAATGGTACCATATACAAAGAACATTTTCAAAACAAACATTCAAGATATAAAATAACCTTATGACATTAAAAATCCTCAGACCTGAAGAAAATATTTTTTAAAAATCACAGATCACATGATGTGAGACTTGCTGAACCACTTACAGTGGGTACGGAAAGTATTCAGACCCCCTTAAATTTTTCACTCTTTGTTATATTGCAGCCATTTGCTAAAATCATTTAAGTTATTTTTTTTTCCTCATTAATGTACACACAGCACCCCATATTGACAGAAAAACACAGAATTGTTGACATTTTTGCAAATTTATTAAAAAAGAAAAACTGAAAAATGCTCAGTATTTAGTAGAAGCACCCATTTGATCTAATACAGCCATGAGTCTTTGGGAAAGATGCAACAAGTTTTTCACACATGGATTTGGGGATCCTCTGCCATTCCCTCTTGCAGATCCACTCCAGTTCTGTCAGGTTGGATGGTAAACGTTGGTGGACAGCCATTTTTAGGTCTCTCCAGAGATGCTCAATTGGGTTTAAGTCAGGGCTCTGGCTGGGCCATTCAAGAACAGTCACAGAGTTGTTGTGAAGCCACTCCTTCGTTATTTTAGCTGTGTGCTTAGGGTCATTGTCTTGTTGGAAGGTAAACCTTAGTTCCAGTCTGAGGTCCTGAGCACTCTGGAGAAGGTTTTCGCCCAGGATATCCCTGTACTTGGCCGCATTCATCTTTCCCTCGATTGCAACCAGTCGTCCTGTCCCTGCAGCTGAAAAACAAAAAAAATTAACTTAAATGATTTTAGCAAATGGCTGCAATATAACAAAGAGTGAAAAATTTAAGGGGGTCTGAATACTTCCCGTACCCACTGTAAATGCAGTGATATTTTGACTGTTTGATAATGAAATGACTGTAGTGTGTGTTCTGGTGACATTTCTTTCTACATGAAAGCTCTCAGCTGCCATGACAACAGCTGTGGCAAAACGTCTCTCCACTGTGGACATACATGTGTACGTGTGTATTTGCATTTCATATCTGGTCCAGACCCATTTCACGCATGTTTCATATTACAGACATGAATGATCCCTCAAATCACATGACTTGATGATTGAAAAAGCATTACTAGAGCACCCAGAACTAGAAATTACTACTAGCGACCAAGCAACTGCCAACACGCAGCAACAAGACTTTGGGGTTTTATAGACCAGATTTTGCCAGGTGGAAAAAAAATCCCATTTTATACTGGATTCGAGGCATATCTAAAGATTTTAAGGTGGGGCCTTTGCCTAACCCAGTAAGCAAATCCCAAAGTACCAAACAACAAACATCCTAGGATCACTCGTAATGTCTTCAGAAACCATTGTTCATCCCAGGATAGACGAGCATTAGTCTGACGAACTTTAAAGAGCTCTGACTTAACACATTTATGAATCATGGGCTGTCAAAGTAACATAAGTCATATGACACTCTGAGCTGTAACAAGCCATTAGACACACACGAGCTAGTTCACACCAGTCAGAGTGCTGCAGGTATGCTGCAAACGGCACACACACTAGTGTGTGTGTGTGTGTGTGTGTGTGTGTGTGTGTGTGTG